AGACAAATTTTGCCAGTTTTTTAAAAAGTTTAGTATGACGTAAGTAGGAAAAGTGGTGAATTATATAAGCTTACGAATTGCTTAGAAATAGTGGTGGATAAAAATTTACCGAATTGAATTTATTAAACCAAGAATTACAGTTAATAAACTACCACTTGAAAATATTTATTCGTTGTCCGGGGGCAAGTTGGCATTTCTGTGTATAGAAATAAGCGTTCGACAGAGTATGGCATACTGGTCTTATATATAAAATGATACAGCAAAATATTCCTGATGATCTTGTTCATATTATTAATAATTATTTAATCAATAGAACATTTCAAATTAAAATTAATGACCATTTCTCTACAAGGAGAAAAATACAAGCAGGCGTACCACAAGGCTCTATTCTGGGGCCCATTCTCTTCCTAATATACTGCTCAGACTTCCCAGTTAACAGGGGANTAAATAACTACAAAGTAAATTTTGAAAATATTTGACTAATTTCACAAGCGTTTTAAAAGGTCTAGCATGACAATATTACATTAAAGTGGTGAATTATATAAGCCTACGAATTATTTAGAAATAGTGGTGGATAAAAATCTTCCAAATTGAATTTATTAGAGCAAGAATCACAATTGATAAACTACCACTTTAAAATATATATTTGCTGTCCGGAGCTCGTTGACATCTTTGATGTTACTTTCTTGTACACATTTTCACACTGCATTGCTTAAATGTATAGTAGTCTCTGACGTAGAAATATTTTTTATTATATATTAAATTAAATTAAAGGTTTTTGGATATAATTAATAAAATTAATAATTATAACATTAAATTAATTTTTATATATTTTAAAATTAATTATTTTAAATGATAAAACTTATAAGAGCTAAATATCGTTTGCTGACTCTAAGTAGAAGCGATCTTTTGTGTCATTCATCACTTTAGCATGCCTGCCAACTCTTCCGGATTTTCCGCAAGATTTTATATTCATATTTAAAGTGGTAGCAAATATATACTATTTTTTCTTTTATAAACTTAATTTTTAAATGATTTTGATCACCACTATTCTTACAAAAATTAAGCACATATATCAACATGCGTTACTATCATGGTTGTCAACTTAAGTTTTTTCAAATGCAACGTATTTGCTTGCTTAAAATTGAAGTTTTAATTTCATTTTAATACCACTGGGGAAAATGATAATGGAAGGGATTAAAAGTTGGCAGGTATGCTTTAGTTTTAAATTATAAACATTTTAAAACTTTCAGATTAAAATATAGATATTTATGAAATTATTATGTTATGGTTAACATTAATGTCTTGTTTCTTTAAAATAAATTGCCAACATAAAATAATAGTAAGTCTTTATCTTTTTGGAAAAAAAATTATAACTTTGGCCCTTTATAAATAAAATTAAGTTTTGGAAAATGGCTCCGAAGTTGAAGAATCATATCAAGTAAATGTATAAGATGATTTGTTCTATTAAATAAAAAGTGGCAAAAATATATTTATTTGAATTCTACTTTTGTATCTAATTAATAATACCATTTTCTTTATATCCGACCAGAAGAAATCTTCATGTAAAGAAAGAAATAGGAAGAAATAAATGATCGAGAAGAGATAAATATAAATTTTTGAAAAGAAATAGGAAGTAAATGTCTGAAGAATACAATAATTTAGATGACATACGAGTATATGAAACGGTTCCTTCTTTTTTTTCTCTTTTTTTTTTACGAATATGTTAAGAAATTTGAAACTTTGTAAAATGAACTATGACGTTGAGAAGTTTCATTTACGACTAAATGAAGGTTTTAAGAATTGCACAGCTGCAATCGATTATTATGTGTTGTAATTCAGTATGGTTGTTTGAAATATAAGCAAACAAATCTTGGAAAAATGTGAGACATTAAAGTAGTGTGTAATTGTTTTACTACTGAAGTTTTATAGTTCAAAAATGTGTAAACATAAATAAAAAGATCATATTAAAAACTCTAATCCTCTTAAATACCACAACAGCATACCTGCCAACTTGTACGGATGTTGAAAAAGATTTCACAAAGTGGTAGTAAAACGATAAATAAGTTAGCAGGGCTAAAAAATACTACGCTTTTTGCAAAATATTTCATTGAGTGGTAGACCATTAACACGTTGACGCCGGATGTTGCTCCTGAAAGCGGGACGGAAAAGAGAAAATACTGGTAGAAGAACTATTTCAATATTAGATAATATTCGGGAGGAGTTAATCTATTATCAACAATAACAATTCACTGTAAGGAAATTTATCACGGCGAAGAAGGAATTCAATATAAGAATTGCATCCGTTAAATACAATTAGTTGTTATGGATTTTTATAATTCCCGGAAAAAAACTAAACAATGAAATTTATTTGTCACCAGTTTTTACTCCATTGCGCCGCCCGATGAGACAATCTAGAGTGACCCACCGGTGGGCCACCCCGGCGTGAACGAGTTTCCATAAATTGAATCAGATTGAATTTTCTGGAAATTTCTTTCTCAAAGTTAAAACGAATGTTTAAATGATTAAGAATTGGGAAGTAATAAAACATGTTCTCGTTGTACTTTCATTAATTATAAGCTTAATTTTTTATGATGTGAGCAGTACTGTAGAAATTACGTGTGTCGTTAATTAAGTTAGATTATTAATTATTGACACACTGAATGAAATTTTTAAACACATTTAAAACTGGAAGTAATTTTTTTGTTGTAAGAATGAATGGAATCTTTTTAGGGGAATAGTAAAAAATTTAAGAACTAAATAGAGGGGACTCAAACTACCCTCCAACTTTTACGTATTCAAAGAAATATTTTCGTGTGATAATGAAATGCCATTGGACATTCAATCAAAATTTGAAGAGCTTAGTCAACGCCTCCTACAACTGAAAGCCTCCACATGGTTTTTTTATAGGTAGTCCGATCAAACCACAATGAAAGTAGACCAGTTTACGAAAGAGCCGCCCTTTAATAGAAAATCTAGTAAAAATAAGAGAGTGGTAGCAAATATATATCTAAAATTTTTTTAAATTTATGAATATGATTGGTTTGTCTTATTCACTTGTCTACCACTACAGATTCAATTCTCAAATATATATGACACATTTCTCTCAGTCAACTTTAAAATAGAATATGGGTTCCATGCACACAACCGGTTCACTTTTTAAATAGTCTGCCCGGACTACTTATAAAAAACCGTGTGGAGGCTTTCTGATGTAGGAGGTGATGGCTTAGTGCATGAACCAGGCAAGTGACGTTTTCAGAGTGGCTATAATCAGGGCAAGAGGGAAAAAAGTGGTATCCAAACTTTTAGATTTATTAGAAAGTGGAGCTAATAATTCTTCCCTTATTTTATTTGTCGCAATTTAATTAAAAATAATATTTATGAAAGCAAACTCAAAACTAATGTGAAAGAGTTACGTTAAAATTGAAGTGAAAGCAAAATAATTCTGTGACATTAACCCGTTTTGTCCCGAGTTCATATATTGAAATAATACAAAAAGTCGTTTTATGGAGAAAGTGGTATAAGATATTTTCGAAATTAATTGTTTTTTCTACTGTTAGGGCATTTAAAAAGTCTTTGATAGATCAAAAAGTACTTGCTCCTTATAATTCTAGATATATCCTGAAAATGTAATTTCACTCATCAAATAAACTCTTCATTTATGATCTGATACCTACTCTAAAAACAGTTTTACTCATATGAAGTAGTAGCAGTGCACGATCGCTTGCTGAAAAAACAAAGTTTAATTTTACAAATTATTTTTTACCAGATTTTTAAGTATGTAATGATAGCAACTTAGAATTTAAAATCAATGCAACGATGGCAACTTTTTTCTTCGGAAATAGAATACCAAGAAATAGAATATTTCCTATTATTCTTCGTGGCAATGTAAAGTTTTTGAAACTAACAAAAAATGGCAGCACCATTTTTCCTCGAAAAGTAAAAGAAGCATCGGTGAATGAAAATGAAACAGCCAACTGGAAACAACTACGGCCGATGAGGGCGTTTCATTCTCCTCGGCATGCTCGACAACCCCTGACTCGCGTGCAAGTCGTCTGCCGCCTCCAAAACATCGTCTGCTAGCATCTCTCTCCGATCATTCTCACACTCGGGATGAGCTTGCAACGTTGGGAACGTCGGCGCTTTTCCAATGTGATCACAACAACACGTGGTTAACATTCAAACTTTTATATTCTTCATTTTTGTATTTATCTAGTACCAGTTCTTATTTTTAAATATTTAAAATAAATATATTTCAAAAAACGATAAATTCACGATTAAATATCAAAATAGCAACTATAAAGATATGAAGTATGCCACTATTGTGAGATGTTTTCTAAAAGTTTTTCATTGGAGCGTGAAGTAATAAAATTGCTTAAAGGATTAAAAAGAACAGTGCGGAATTATACGAGGGTAATAGTGAAAGGTAAATTTTAGAAATACATTTCACACTAATGTAAGATCAGATTAAGTCTAATTAATTATAAGGTCAGATTAAGACTAATTAATTATATAAGAGAAGTCTAATTAATTATATTTATTGTAATTAAATCTAAAGTAGGAAATAAGCATGTAAAATTTTAATTTAATCGACTTTAATACTAATTAATTAATTTTAATACTAATAACGGTTTCAAGGATGTCAAAATTCAATTTAATTACCTTTAATTAATTACTTATAACACTAATGTAGGTTTAAAGTATGTCAAAATTCAAATTAATTACTTTTAATACTAATTAATCACTTTTAATATTAAAGAAGGCTTAAAGTTTGTAAAAATTCAAATTAATTACTTTTTATGCTAATTAATAACTTTTAGTACTAATGTAAGTTTAAAGTATGTGAAGGTTCAAATTAATTGCTTTTAATACTCATTAGTTACTTTTAATACTAATAAAGGGTTAACATATATAAAAATTTGAATTAATTACGTTAACTACATTTAAAAAATAGCTGGTATAAAGCCTGAAAAATTTAAACGAATTTGAAATTTAGTTGTTAATTCAACCTGCTAATATAAATTTTATGACTCTATTTAATGCAGAGAAAAAAATGAAAGAAAAGAAATGAATATGTTTGAGTAAATTGGTTAACTACACAAGTTCATAAAAATATGAATAAAAATTTTAATTAATTGAAAGATATTATAAGATATAGTGAAAAAATTTAATCAATATTAAGGCTTTTTCATAAAAATGATTAAATACTAAAATATTAATAAACTTTATGAGAAGTTATAATAGAAAACTACAGTAGAAAACTATAGTAGAAAACTACATGTTTTGAAATTTACATATAGAAGGGATCAGGTTTTAAAAATTTAGCTATTTTAAAAAAAAAACAAATTTATGCAATTCCATTTAGAAATGAACATTGCCACCTCGTTATGATTAGTAAAGAATACATTAAATAAGCGGATTCCTTAAAATTTATTATTTCGACTTATGAATTAAATTAATGATATTGTACATAAATTAACAAAACAAAAATAAATTTATATAGTTTACGTTCTTACAAGAAGTATGCGTTAGAAATATTTATGTATTTTCTTTTGATAAAGGCATTTTATTAAAAAATTTATTGTTAGAAAATAGTGATTGCGTTTATTAATTAATTAAGTTTGATACATAGTTATCACAAATTAGGAAGAAATAAGAAATTTTTTTTCTTCTATTATTAGAAAAAGACAAAAATTAAGAAAAAATTAGCTACTAACAATTAAAAGTAAAAAACTAAAAAACCTTCATTATACAGTGCTCCGGAATTTTAAATCTTGATATATTTATTATTAAACAAAAAACTGAACATATGCTACATCTATGTTTTAGATTATAATAATTAAACTTGTTTCGCTCACACAATCCTAAATTAATACGATATAAATTGGCAATTTCTTTAAAAAAAACATGTTGCTCAACATGAACAAATTATAAAATCTCCAAAATCAGATAAAGAATGTTCCTAAATTTGTTCAAGAAATCATAAAAACATGAATCAAAATATGAAATTTGTCAACCACATCACTTGATAAACATGAGTGACGTCATCGCACCAATCGTTGCTGACACTGACGAATTATCGTCAGGGGATTGTCAGCAACCCGTGCTTAATGTGCCACCCATTATGGACATCGTGACCCAAGAAGCCCCTAATGGACCCCTAATTGAAGGAGTTGAACTCCTGGAAAGAAATGGCAATGAAGGAGCTCAAGTTCGAAAAACTCGATCCGGAGCATCTAGTTCTGGATCTTCCACAAAACCTTCTTTGTCCAGCAGGCTGGACAATCTAAAGATTTCAACTATCCGGCAACATTATTATCCGGAAGGTGGATGGGGCTGGGTCATTTGTGGTTGTGCTTTTGCTATTAATATGCTGACAAGTGGATTATTACTATCTTATGGAATTTTATACCAAGAAGTGTTGAAGGAATTTGGCGAAGAACATGCAGAAAAAGCGAGTAAGTAATAATTTTGTTTAAATTTTTTTTGTTCGTAAAAGTATGTGAAATGCAAATACGTATAAATTGTCTATCCTTCAAATGAAATTAGAAACAAGTTTGCTTCCTTGAATGCTTATAAAGGTTTTCTCGGATTTAAAGACGTTTATAAAAATTGATATTTCTCAAAAGTCAATGATATCGCAAGAGCTAAGAATTTAAAAGAAAGGTTCAGGGTATATAGATATTGCACTTAATAAAATGGGTCATGACATCGGTTTTTGTAAAAAAAAAAAAAAAAAAAAAATAACTAANAAAAAAAAAAAAAAAAGAACTAAGATTCTTATGGGGAGCACTAAAATGTTTTTGTGTATAAGAATTTGGAAATCTTTGTAAGTGTCATCCTATAGGGAAACATCAGGAACAGTTTGATGTGAAATTTTTTGAGTTAATAAGTGCATGTTTAGACATAAACATAACGATTTTGCAGTTGGCAATACGATGTTGCTACGTATTGTGCTGTGCTTTTTAGCGGAAATTCCGGTAAACGCCAATGGTAATACCAAAAAGAAAAAAAAACGAAAAAAAAAAAAAACAGATTGGAGTAACGATAAAAAAATATACCCTATATATTGCCTCAAGCTCTTTAAATAGTCGTAATGAAAATAGTAACGATAGTGCAACACGCACTTTAGATTATAATAAGTTATGATATTATGAATAATAACTCATGAATTTATTCATGAAATATCTATGATGAATTCATGAAATGTATCATAAATTCATGAAATGTATAATTCATGAATATTATGAATAATGAATTATTATTATTCCTGAATTTATCGATAGCATAAGAATAATTTATTATAATATGTAATTAGTAATAATACTTATACTATATATTAAGTAATATTATAAGTATAATATAATTACATATTCATAACCTATATATTCATGACTACTATACATGAATTATTATTCATGCACTATCATTCATGAATTTATCGATAATATAAGAATAATCTAAATAATGCTATGGAATTTCTATTTACGGTAATTTGTGAAAGAATCGACTTCTTAAGAAAATATATGTAAGATTATATAATAATAATGATAAATATATTGTCTTCATATAATCGTAACGAAAATGATGACAGTTCAAGAAGCGTTTTAAATTATAATACTTAATTATTCATGACTACTATTCATGAATATTATTCACGCACTATTATTCATGAATTTATCGACAACACAAGAATAATACAAATAAAGCTATGGCATTTCGATTTACCGTAATGTGTTAAATAATCGACTTCTTATGGAAAAACATTTAAGATCGCCAACATTTTAAAGATTTTACTTCTTAAGAAAATACATGTAGGATTTCCAACATTTAAAATGAAATGCATAAGGTCTTGTATAGTCTAAAAAAAGTGCATTAAATCTACCATAACATGAAGAAAAAAATGTATGAAATGCATGCATCTACACCACTCTATAAATTGCTTGAAACTTTCTGTGATTTAAAGAAAAATAATAATTTATCACATTTTCTTTAAAAATTGCATTAAATGTTTCATAAGATAAAAATTAATAATTGTGGAAACACTTCCTATAACCCAAAGTAAGCAGACTTTCTTTTCGCAGTAAAAGTTTAGGAAGATTTTACTTGGCTGAACTGTTGGCACAATTTGAAATTTTCTTGAAGCTTTTAGGTCATTTTTAGAAAATAGAAGAGTTAAAAACTTATTTTTACCTTTAATACCAGCAGATTTAAATAAAATAAAATAGAAATTTATATTACATTAAAATTCTTTTTTAATTATAACGGTATTGGCAAAAGAGCCTAAAAATTATATAACGGTGCAACACTAAAATTTTAAATATATTATTCAAAAAGGAAAAAAAAACAACCCTTACGTGAATATAATCACATTAATGTTAATTAGATTTTCAATAATGTATTTTGTGCATAGTATGGCCACCTTATACTTTATATGTACATTGATCGACTAGTTCACTTGTATGCATATTTGATACAATTGGGAGCGGCTTAATTAATATTTGGACTCGAATGCTTGATTTTATACAGTTAATTTTGTTTTTCTCGAGGTAAGGAAAGGTGAGAATAATTTTACCCTGGAGTCACGTTTTTGAAATGTTATAAATTACTGATGCTGAAAACAAATTTCATGAGCCGACAAGATTGATATTTTACAATTCATCAGAGTATAAAATGAATTTATCAAAAATTGTTGTTGACGTATTTAATATTGATTTCTCTTAGATTTATCAGTAACATAATAAAATTTTTATTCTGCCACTGATTTAAAATAATTTATAATTTAACTCATTTGATAAATACAACGAGATTTCCGATTGCAGAAATTTGAAGTTGTAATTTAAATTATTTTTTAAGTATGAATGGAATATTTAATGGCCTCTCATGGATTTTCAGATCATCAATTCGTAGTCTGTTTATTATATTGCTGACAAAGGTTTTCAAATCAGATGCACTGGTAGTATTAAGATCACTTATGTTCCAGTTTAGAAATTTATAAATTGAATTGATAGATTATGATAATAGTAATTTAATTTGCGATAGGACTTTTTAAATATACAAAATTAAAAATTGGATTTAACCACTTAATCACAGATTTTTTGAAAAAAAAACAGGCCGAAAAAAAAAAAAATCATTTTTTTGTGTAAAAAAACACATTTTAGAACATTGTCTTCCATTTTGGTGGACAATTTTGATATACTGCACTTTTGTTCCATGGAAAAAGGCTATATTCAGAGATGCCAACTGCTCCGGACACGCCAAAATAATTTTAAAAAAAATTGTGAACAACTACAAAGTAAACATTGCAAATATTTGACTATTTATGCTTGTTTTTTAAAAAGTTCTAGCATGTCAAAAGTACTAAAAAAGTGGTGAATTTTATAAGCCTACGAATTATTTAGAAATAGTGGTGGATAAAAATCTACTAAATTGAATTTATTAAACCAAGAATCACAATTGATAAACTACCACTTTAAAATATTTATTTGCTGTCCGGAGCAAGTTGGCATCTCTGTATATTTTATTCTTGAATAAATAAGTGCTATAGCATGCAATCCTATGTAAATGAGAAACATCAATAAACGATTTTTTTTTCTTAGCTTTCACATTGTTATTTTCAATTCTTGATTAAATTTGAGTGTGAAAAATTATAGCAGCATAAAATACAACGCCGCTCGAATTATCTCGAATGTGTACAGTTTGGACTGTTTAGCGTGCTCGAAATAACTCGAGGACATAAGTTAAGGGGTTAATAATGGCATGACAAACTTTTTTCTGTTGTCACTAATTTAACCTTTTTCTTATGGCTGGTACAACTGATGGTCCAGAATAGCAGGGGCTATCAGGTGCCGTAAGCAAAATTTTAACATAATTTATAGAGTTGCCAACTACTACGCTTTTTGCAAAATATTTTGCAGAAATGGTAGACAATTAAAAGCTAAAGCTTACAGAATTTTTTTTAATTTTGTCAACACTTTAAAAGTCGCACCTTAAGAAAGATGTAACAAAGTGGCGTCTCACGTGAACTTTTGAATTATTTGCATGTAGTAGCATGGAAAATAACTTTAAATTAAATTTTGAAAACAAAAAATCTTACATTTTAACATACATATAGTTACAACTAAAAGAAATTTTCCTGAAAAGCTTAGAATGTTGCCAGCCCTGAATTTATAACTTATCTGATAAAAACGAACTTTCCGAATAAAAAAAATCTGTGATTAACATTTAAATTATTTATTAATAATTCAATAGAATACTTGTCTTTCATTGTACTGCAGATTATCAATTCACAATCAAAGCGTTACATTATTGACAATAGTTATCAAGTCATATACACCAGTTTACCTTTAAAAAGCAGCAAATTTTGATTGAAAATTTTAGATGGTCAGTCATGGCCGGGATAGCCTAGTCGGTAGGGCACTGGGCCAGTGTCCGAGAGTTCGGGGGTTAAAACCCCGCTGGCCGAAGATTCCCCGTGTAGTAAAATGGTGACTGATGCACGTTAAATCTATCGAATCGCAAAGTCCTCCATGTTCCCACAACAAATCAATACCTCTTGGGGTACTGGATTGGAGATGGACCGTTCTCTGATTCAGGTCAAAATTACGGTCTGTGTATGAATGGGTCCGCCCTATAAACGGGCGTGACGTATGATGTGGAAGAAGTCGAATTCTTGGCCAAAGATGGCGCCACTGGAAAACAAGAACAATCGCAACCCCCTGTCTTAACAGGCATGCGAAAACAACAACAACTACAGATGATCAGTCAATTTGCAACCTTCATAATTTTTGCTTCATAATTTTGCTTCATAATTTTTAAAAATGCTTGACCACTATGATGTTTACAGAATAGTGTTTGCTAGAAAATCGGTGGATGTTTAAAAGCAAATAGTTTTATAATTTTAGTGGCTTGCAATGACTTTGACTCGCGTGTAGCAATCGTCTCCTATAGCAGAAAGCCTCCACATGGTTTTTGATAGATAGTCCGCTTCGACCACTAGGAAGGTAACCCACCTTACGAAGGAGCCATTTAATAGAAAATCCAGCAAAAATAAGAAAGTGATAGTAAATATGTGCTTAAAAATTGGTTTAATGACTCTAATTGGTTTGTCTTGTTTATTTGCCAACAATAACAGATTCAATTTTCAAATATACAGGACAATTTTTTCTCAATTACTTTTAAAATATAATTTGCTTTCAGGCGCATAACTGGTTCACTTTTTAAATAGTCTGCTCAGACTACTTATCAAAAACCGTGAGGAGGCTTTCTGATGTAGGAGGTGATGGCTCACTCTAGGCTGTCACGCCAGTAAAGAAGGAGATCCTTTGCTAACAATATTATGTTGAGTTCTTTTAAAAACCCGGTTTTCTTAATCTTATAAAATTAAGTCGTTGTGAAGAGTAACAAAGAGTTACAATAATCCTAAAAAAATTTACTTTTTTATATGAATCTATAAATA